GGAAGAGGTATGGTACCCCCTAGGCCAGATGCTACTTGTTTGAGAGGTTTTAGGAAAGTCTGAAGCATCAGCCAAAAGAGGGGCCAGTTATATGGAAAAGCCATTAGAAACAGTTTGGATGGGCCTGCAAGTTGGGTGGGTTGGGGCAGGGTCTCAGGGAATCTCCAAGGCACAGAAAACAGTGTTAATCAAGCAGATGGAGACTCAGATATGTCACTAGCCTGCAGGCTGTGTGGGTGGCAGGCCCAGAAAAGGAATAATGGTCTCTGCCATCACTTCTATCTGGGGGAAAGCTACCCCTACAGCTCTCACCTACATGCCAGCCCACCTGATGTCTTTCAAGCCACTGACTGTCCTGCTGGAGCTCAGAGCAAGTGAGTTTGAATAAGTCTGTCCACAGGCTGTTAAAGAGGAACTGCCAAAAGCCCTCTATCTCAGTCACAATCTCTGCTGGTTTTCACAGCCAGAAGTTATGAGGACTTCTGTTCCTGGCACTGGAACCCTGGGCTGGGGGACCTGGTGTGGGTCTGGGACCCCTCACTCCTCATCTGAAATACCTTCTCTGCATCCAAAATACTTCTGCTGATTTTTATCTGATGCATATGGGTGTCCCAGGGCCAGCCTGTTCTGCATCTCCACCCCTCTAATCAGTCTCCTTATAGCTTCTTCTTTGTATTCTTAGTTGTAGGACTTCTGTTCAGCTAGATTTAAGGTGGTTCATGTTGTTCTGTAGCTTAGTTGTAATTTTGATGTGGGTATGGGAGGATTCAAGTACTACATGTACCTATGCCGCCATCTTGACCACAGTCCCCTCAAAATTTTGATACTATCATTTCCATCACTACTGTTGGCCTTAGGTAGTTAGGTAGTTTCATCACTACTGTTGGCCCCACCTCTATTACTCTTATCATTTTATATATTTCCCTAGTGGCAATAGCATAAAATCATAGTTGGCAAGCAAAACTGTAGAGATAGGAAACAGATTACTGGCCACCAGGAGACAGAAGTGGGTGGGGATGGTACAAGTAAAGCTGTAGCATGAGAGAGTTCCTTTGCAACAGTTGTATACTTTAATGATGGTGATGGTTACATGACTGTAGCCATAGGATAAAATAAAATAGAACTCTATACTCACATAACACACAAATGCGTGTAAAACTGAACAAGGTCTGTGATTAACTTAATACTGATCAATGTCAATTTCTTGATTTTTGATATTGTACTGCAGTTCTGTCAGATGTCACCATTAGGGCAAGTTGAAGGAAGCTTTCATAGAACTCTGTATTATTTTCACAGCTTGTGAGCTTATAATTATGTTAAACTAATAAATTTCAAAATTATAATAGGTGACAGCAAATAAGTCTTGGCCTACTGTTTAAAAAGAATCAGAGAGGTAGTGCTAATGAGGCAAGCACCCATAATAATTAGCTTTGCCCTAAACGTAGTATAAATTTTTTTTCTTAAAAGTAAGCATAAACATGCAGTCCCCGCCTCTGATTTAGATGTTAGACAGTTAATACATGAAAAAATATATATATTTTTAAAGATTTTATTTATTTTTAAAGAAAGTGAAACACCATTGTGTGGTTGCCTCTCATACACCCACAACTAGGGACCTGGCCTACAACCCAGGCATGTGTCCTGACTAGGAATCAAACCGGCAGCCATTTGATTCACAAGCTGACACTCAATCTACTGAGCCACACCAGCCAGGGGAGATGCAAATATATTTAATAAGTACACACTACAAAAGGAACATACTAACTTTAGCAAAGGTATGTAAGTGCACCCCATAGATCTACAGGCTAACAGCTCTTTTGTTAGTTGTACCTTTGTCTGTCTATGCTGTCAGTGTCTGGCTCCACCAAATATTTGCCCAAGAACATGCTTCGGATAATTTATACAACTGAATTCTTCCATTTATCATCGTTATTTTTTTGTTAATTTACTACATATATATCACAGGAAGCTCTGGAAGTACAGATGAACAGTAGAGAAACATTGCCTATAATCCACAACCCAGAAATAAACATTATGATGTTTGGTATATATAATTGCAGTCTTTTTATCCCTGTGCATATAAATGCTTTTTAAAAATATATGATCATAATTTTTGTATACTTGTTTTACTTATTGATGTATACACAAAACTGTAACATTTCCCTGGTCATTAAAATGCTTTTTAACTATATGATTTAATGACTACATACAACTGTACCCTCTGGATGTAAGATACCTTAATCAATGTCCTATAATTGGATATTTAGGCTATCCAGTTTTCTACCATTAGAAACATCCCTAAAGCTAAAACTTCATGCATGGTTATGATTATGTCCCTTAAGACAAAGTCTCAGAAGTAGAATTGCTAGTAAACAAAATGTTTAAAGCTTTATTTATATTGCCAAAGAGAAGCATCATTTTTAAAATGTATGTAAACAAAAATCTTATTTGAACAACAAGATGCTTTACCTGAAGGGAAATTTAGAATCAGTTTCTTTTGCCTAATAATGCACCCCTTCTTGGAAACAAATCACCATTGCCAAGTACACATATTGCTTTGACAGAATTAAAAGAAAAATGTTGAAAATACAGTTGACCCTCGAACAACATAAGTTTGAACTGAGCTAGTCCACTTATATGCAGATTTTTTCAATGCAAACATATAGTTCTATAAATGTATTTTCTCTTCCTTATGATTTTCTTAATAGTAGTTTCTTTTCTCTAGCTTACTTTATTATAAGAATATAGTATATAATATAAATAACATACAAAATATGTTAATCAACTGTTTATTAATAAGACTTCTGGTCAACAGTAGGCTGTTAAAAAGTTATGTGTGGATTTTTGACTTGCATTAGGGGTGGCACCCCAAACCCCATATTGTTCAAGCATCAACATAAACAAGTTATGTAAGAATTGTAGCTATTGTTTATTTTTGTTAAATAGTGAGAGCAAAATAATATGCTGGAGTAAAAAGATAGCGAATAGAATGAACATACTTCTACTGGGGCTTGGGGTATTACTTTTCCCTTTTTCCCCATTTGATATTGATTAAAATATATTTTTGTTATTTTTTAAGCATAATGACTGTATACATATATACCACTTTTATGTACAAACAAAGAGTTAAAAATTTTTTCATGGGAAAATGTCCTATATAGTCATAATGTTGCAGAATTCTGTTGTATGTTTCCAGTTGTGAATGGGTGTGAGGGGGTCTGGTTCTGGATTAAAGATCATCTTTGATTAGGCATCTCTAGTATTCTGCTGGAACACCTCAGTCATATCTTTTTTTGCATTTCTAACTGGGTGAATGCGTCCCTTTGCTTGATCTTTCTCACCGAGAAGCTAAATCCTTAATAGGTTTTCTTTAGTTTATCAAGTGAGGCTCCATCTTGTGCTGTGATCTTCCAATAATTATGACCATTGTTTTCAGCCTTAACATCTTCTTAGGATGTTTCATTGGTCCCCACTTCATAGAAAGGTGTACTGGGTTGACACAAAAGGAACACAGATCATACCAGGAAGGGTGGAAACAAGACTTGGATAATTTTTTTTTTAAAAAAAGTCTGAACTTTTAAGTAAGTAGAATGTGCATTATGTGCAGCTTTTAAAAATTATCTTTCAATAACAGTAAATGAGTGGACCATAGCAAATAACATGTTTGATTTCTGGATTGATATCCCACACTGGGAAGTGGTTAAATATTTAGATATTGGAAAAGTAACACGACAAGTCTGAGAGTGTCCGACATTTTTATTTCTTCTTAGTTTGAATATAGTATCTGAGATCAGGGTTACAAAGACCTCTTTCCCTTTCTATTCTACGTTGATATTTTCTATGATTATTTGTATTTTGTCACTGTCATTGACATTTCCCTCAAAGAGAAATTCCTTATGCTGGAATTGATGGTAAATATTTGCTGTTGGAGGAGGGATTTTTTAAATGAAATTATTTTCTTCTGCGTCTGTCTTTTGGCTAGTTGTGGGACTTTCCTTTCCATTCCTACTGTAATATAATTCTGAGTTGAAAACAGCTCTGGGAAGAAACTGATGAGACATTACAGGTGGTAGAGTTCCTCTAACTCAGAGAGAACTTTGCAGTACTGGGAATAGCATATTCTTACCTGGTCTGAATTAAGAAGGTATTCCATGTTGTAGCAGTTGAGTATTAAAGAACTAACTAATCTAATAAAAAATTGTAATTTAAAAACAAATTTCCCTCAAAGGATTGCTCTCTTTGAGTTTATCTCAGTTGTACCCTGTACTCTTACTTCCCTATAAACCCGTTATCTGAACTTGTTACCCACTCCCACCTCTTCATCTGAGATTTTCCACACAAACTGAGAGTAAGTTTTTTTGGGAAACAAATTAGGGTTTATGCAAAAGGGGATTGAATGAACAAAAATTATATAGTTTTTTTTAACAATTTCATATATAGCCTTATAAGTATATGCAAAGATTTATCAATTAGATAATATATAATATATGTTATCTTTTTAAGAAAAAACTGTATATAAACTCTTTGAAATTTCATTGAAAAGAAATCTGGTTTAACCTGTGGTGTTTTATTTTTTAATCCAGGTAATATTTTTTCTTCACATTAAATATTTCATATGCCTGTTGAGAAATTTTTATAGGTCACAAAGAGGTCCTATTTGTCTTTCATTATATCAAGGGTATTCATATAATATTTAAATTGATATACTGATAGCTGTTTTCTGCTTAAATAAACTGAACATATAAAAATACACAATTTGAAATAGATAATTTCTCTAGTCAGTCTGGTGGATTTTAAACATGAATTATTTACAAAAATGTAAATCACCCTTAGTTGCAAATACCACCCTGATATATAAGGGACAGCTGTGTACTATGTGCATTAAAATATTCTTAATTAATGCTTTGTTAGACTTACATGATTAAAATACAGGTGTATTAAAAATCAATGCCCCTCGTTTCTGCAAACTTACAACAGTTCCTTTCTTTTTTCCTTAACAGATATAAGCTTACCAAAGTCGGCAACAATATGCTATACAGCTGCCTTGCTAAAAGCGAGAGCTGTCTCTGACAAGTAAGTGAATAGGTACTAAATGCCTGACCTGACTTAAGATGTGTTGCTCCTGAGAGTTTCTCTGAAAGTTTCTCTTAGTCTGTGAGACTACTGCTTATGAGCATGCATTTTCCAAAATCTGCTGATCTTTTCTTTCACTACTAGAAGGAGGGAATTGTAGGGGTGTTTGTAGAGTCCCTAAAGAGGGATTTATATGAAATTCCATGCCTCTGAGGTGAATTTTTTTTGTGTCAGATAATAGATACTAAAAGACCTGCTTGGGACTTACACAAAATGCCTTCCTTTTATTCATTAAAAAAATTTTTTTTGCATATTCCTCTTGTATTCCTCTTCTTTCTGCAGTAGAAGGCTGGGTAGTAATATGGCAGAGGGGATGGTCATCTCCCATTCTTTGCTTCATCAATTCCAAACTCACTCCCAACCCAGGGTCTGTTTACTTTAAGTCACCATGTCAGTGGGACATTGCCCACTTTACTCAGGCAGGTGACTATGGCATAGAGAATTTCCATAAACATCCAAGGTGACTGGCAGATGAAAGAGAATAGATGGCTTAACTGTTTTTCAGTTCAGGCATGCTTACATTGCCCCCAAACACTCCCTTGGTAGCACCGAAAGTCAGAAAACAGGAAAGAAAATAGCCTCTGCTATGTCAGACAGGATTGCTGTTAAGTGTGTGTGCACTTCAAGACCGAAGTAATTGTCTTTCATTCTTTTTTATCCTGTAGATCGCCAGTACCTACTGCAACATCTTTTCTCCCTACACAGCGACTCCAGCTTGGGAGGGCAGGGCCAGGGTTGTCACAGCTTCCCCTGTGGTGTCTGCCTGCCAAGCACAGCTCTGGAGTTAGCCCTGGGTGTGAGGTGAGAAAGAGATTGCATGGTCTGGTTTTTTCATTCATTTGGGCAGGTGTCTCGCCCGCAGTTTGGGCATGCACACCCCCCTTCCGGAATGGCCCCAAGCAGGCTTTCCTGCTGCTGAAGCTGCAACAACTTAACCTCCACGGCAGCATTGACTTTGGGTTGGGAGCCTCATTTAAAATTCTCCCCAGTTCTGTTTTTAACCAGAAAAACAGAGCTCTTCTGTAACCTAGTTTTCTCTTTTTCCTACACTGTCTGCCCTTGTCAGTCCTGCCCCCTCTTCTGAGCTAAGCAGGTACCCCATAGAAAATTTAGATTAGCTATTTAGCCAGAGAGACTTAACAGCTGAATTTAATTCCTGCCTCAATTAGATGCAAACATGCTTTCTGCTTCTGCTGGGGTTTTTGTTGGCCTTACTCTGAGGGGTCACTCAGAGGTTTCATGTAGTGGAAGTTTGGAAAGGTCATGCCATTGGCTCGCTGTGGTTTTATATGGGCCCTTGATGTGTAGATGCCTCTCTGGGCTGATAGATACCCAAGCAGCGTTTCCAACTGGATGGTGTTTGTCTTTCTGCTTTTCAGATTCTCTCCTGAGGCTGCATCTCGGCGGGGGCTGAGCACAGCAGAGATGAATGCAGTCGAGGCCATTCATAGAGCTGTGGAATTCAATCCTCATGTGCCAAAAGTGAGTAGGTGGAATCCCCACAGGAACTCGTTATGATAGCAGAGAAATGTTCCATGACCACAATATCATGTTTTGAATGCAAACAGTTATAAAGACATGAATTGCAACCAATAAATGTTGAGGCCCGGTGTAGTCTAAGATTAGCCTCTTTTAAAGCAAAAGCTACTACATTCAAATGGATTTGGGGCTGATTTTCAGGCTTCATATAATAAGGATAAATTGATAGACCTGACTTAGGCAGACTAAGTCAAGAAGTCTAAAATAGGCAAAATATGGAGATCTCAAGGGTATTTGATCAGTTTTTAGTTTTACATATACCCAACTTGGGAAATTCACCTTGTTGTTAATAAACATTTTTTAAATTACTTACCAACGTGAGCTTCCATGCCTCTATAAATAAATGATAGTTAATTAGTATTGGCAAGAAAATAATAGGGAAAACATCAGAGTATGAAAGTTTTTTTTTAACTTGTGAGTGCCATTTTACTAAGTATATGTGGTAAGAAATATTTGTCATAATTATTAACCACATAATTAACCAGTTTATAACTCTCCATAATAAATACCAACTTAAAATTTCTCATGTATTTATTTCTGAATTTGATTTTAAGGGAGTCAGATATTTGTAATAATATAAAGATAATTCTGTAGTCTTTCATTTAGGAGATGGATGTATATTTATGATTTATCTGTATTTGAATATCTACTGTGTGATAGGCACATCACTTAACATTTTCATTTTCTTCATATTATAAAGCACATTTTGACTTCTAGGAAACTATTCCTGCAGTTCATAACAGGTACTGCAGGGAAAAGTGTTCTTGGCAAAATGTCTGATGAAGACGTTTATTGATGAAAATGACGAAAAAGGCTGTTTTATTTTTTCTTGTCTTGTTATAAGGCTGAAGTAAAAGAGTAGTATATATGTGTGTGTGTGTGATTATGGAGTTACCTGTTTCAATTTATTTTGTTGTTATCCAGAGTGGCAAAGATCTAGTATCATTCCTGAGGTTTCACTCAGGCCATGATCGTCCTTTCACAAAACAGGAAACGGAAGAGTGGTGCACAGTGCCACTGTGGCTGAAGGGTGTATTTATCCACCCTAGGTCCGGTGCATAGTACCCAGCATATTATCTGTAAGCTCAGGTATTGTATATAGAGTGCAGTAAAATGCATCTCTTAATATTTTTCAGCTAACTGAAAAATGTTCATTCACATTTTATTAAAATTTTAAACTAATCATGAAAATATTGTCCTGAATTACAGTAAAGTTATCAATTAATATTTGTGAATGTCATTCTTTAACTAAAGAGCTATTCTATCAGCATAAATAAGGCTCTTTTGGAAGTAGTACTGGCAATAAAGTCCTAGATTCTGAGTCAAAAACTTGCATTCAAGATTTGGCTCTTTTATTTATTAGCCATGGGACCTAGGGTACTCAGTTCAAAAAAGACAAAGAAATCTCTAAACCATTAGAGGATGTTTTATATTTAATGAGATTAAAGTAGAAGCTTTGAATTTAAAGGGAATATTCTCCATTTTTTTATATTTCATTCATGTGATGCTAGGTAAATGAAAGTCGTGCTATACTCATTTCTGTTCTATAGCTTCATCTATATATTGCTATAGTTTATAGGATTTTTAGCTGTAGATTTTTTCCCCCTGCTTTCCCTGAAAATATGCTTCCCCACCCACCCTGCTCTTCATTGTCAATGTTCAGATTTACATGAGGGAAGGCACATTTCTCTCAGTGATTCATCACTCTACATATATCTGAGTATCTGAGTGTATACTCTTAGAGTACTATATCTACATTGCAAGGCTGTCCCTGTGGAGATACATATTTTTGGTTTAGAGGATATTACATTAACCCTTTCAGGGCACAAAAGATAAATTTTCATTTACTGAGGTATTTCCCCAAAAAAGACCAAATTATTGGTTTATTACTCCTAGTATTAGGTTTTTTTTTCTCTGTGCTGATATTGTAAAAATAAATTCTTTTTTCTATTAGAGAAAAGTATAAAGAAATCCTTCATAATCCTATCATATAGTCATATTTCCTTCTAGCCTTTTCTTTTACACATTTTTAATTCTTAGGAATCATGGTAACAGCATATTTATGTTTTTTAAAAACATGGGGCTCTTAACTTGGACTTTGTGGATGGATATTGGGAGTAGTATATCTATTCTTTCTTGGGAAAGATCATCAGATCCTCCTTAACAAAGGTTCTCCTCTAACTTAACATTAAAGTTCAAGTCTTTTAGCCATATGCCTTTAAAATATTCTCAGTTAACTATTTTCTAGATGACTTACTTTCTTATGTTTATATTATAAAAAACACATTATAAAATCTACCATTTTAATCAATTTTTAAGTATACAGTACAGTGTCGTTAACTATACACACTTTGCCATACAGTAGATCTCTAGAACCTTTTCCTCTTGCTTAATTGAAACTGTACATTATTGAACAGCAACTCTCCATTTATCCCCCACCTCTTTCCTGGTAACCACCATTCTACTTTTTGCTTCTGTGAGTTTGGTTACTTTAGATACCTCATATAGGTGAGATCGTGCAGTATTGGTCCTTCTGTGACTGGCTTTTTTCACTTAGCATAATGTATTCCATGTTCATTCCTGTCACAGCATTGGACAGGATTTTATTTTTTTAAACGTCTTTCAAGGATATGTTTATTGATTTTGAGAGGGAGAGACGGAGAGACAGACATCAATCAGTTGCCTCCATACATGCCCCAACCAGGGACTGAATCTGCAACTCTTCAGTGTATGGGACAATGCTGTAACCAACTAAGCCACTCGGCCAGGGTACATTAATATTCAATTGTATGTGTGTATATATATCACCTTTTCTTTATCCATTAATTTATTGATGGAAATTTAAGTTGTTTACACTTCTTAGGTATTACAAATAATGCTGAAAAGAACATGAAACTGCATATATCTCTTCAAGATCCTTTTTTCAGTTCTTTTAGATGAATACCTGGAGGTTGGATTGCTGGGTTATATGGTAGTACAATTATTATTTTTTTTGAGGAAACTCCATACTGCTTTCCATAGTGGCTGCATCATTTTACAGTTCACAGAAGTTCTAGTTTCTCTACTTCCTTGCTAGTATTTGCTATATTTGATTTGGGTATTTATTTATTTATTTATTTATTTTTGGAGTAGTGGCCATCCTAACATTTGTGAGGTGATATCTCATTGTGGTTTTGATTTGCATTTATTTTATTATTAGTGATGTTGAGCATCTTTTCATGTACCTGTAGGTCATCTGTGCATTGTTTGGAGAAATGGCTGTTCAACTCTTTTTAATGAAGTTTGTACTCATAATGAAGTTTATAATGTATAATAAACTATATACATATAGTTTTCAAATGTTTTCTCCCATTGCATAGGTTGCCTTTTTATTCTTGTTTATTTTACTGTGTTGATTGTTTTAGCTGTGCAGAAGCTTTTTATTTTGTTATAGTTCCACTTGTCCATTTTTGCTTTTATTGTTTGTGCAATATCCAACGAATTATTGTCAAGACAAATATCATGAAGTTTTTAATCCTATGTTTTCTTCTGGAAGCTTTATAGTTTTGGGTCTTTCATCTAAATCTTTAATACATTTTGAGTTGATTTTTGTGTATGGTGTAGTATAAAGGTCTAATATTTCTGCATCATTTTTTGAAGAGAATGATTTAATTCTTGTGCCTTCTATTGCAGACATCAGGTTGTGGCCCACTTCAATAGTGAACTTTTGGGCGCATAAAGATTTTTTGGTATTTAGGATTATTTCCTTAGAAGAGATATACAGAATGGGAATTACTGAGTAACATATAGGAACATTTCAGGCCTCTTGATATTTATTGCCAAATTGCTTACCTAAAAAGATGGTAGCAGTTTACACTCCATCAGGAGGTGATTCCTTTACTATTTCACCACATTGTCTCCAGCACTGAGCAGTTCATTTAAAACAGACAGAAGAAAAGATATATTTGAATTTGGCAGTGGAGTGAGTGGAAGCTCCACTCACCTCCTCCCAGGACCAAACTGGAATTACAACTAAATTAAAGAATAATCATCCTAAATAACCAACTAAAGACTAGCTGAAGACAAGTCTTATAACCAAGGGTTTACAAAAGAAGCCACATTTAGACTGGTAGGAAGGGTAGAGATACAAAAAAAGGGCTGGTGCCACTCCCGTGAATGGTGACTGGGGTTCTAGAAGTATATCTCAGCTGCAGGGGTTACCCCTAGAAGCATGGGGTCCAAACTTCATGCTGCGCTTCCCAGCGAGAGAATAAGAACCAGGAAGAGGCACCCACATAATATCCAGCTGTGAAAAGCAGTGAGGTTTCTCTCCACTAGGGAGAGAGTGACCGCGCTGGAGACATCAGCACCCTCTTAAAAGCCAAGTACACATAATTTTGTTTATAGTCACTCACCCTGTGCTCTGGTGGAGGGAGGACAGAACAGACAAGAGTTGCCTGAGGAGAGTCTGGGGTTCGTGGCTCTGGGAAGGGATCTGTGGGGACAGCTACCAGGATCCATGTACTGAGTTATTCCCCCATGCCACATACACTGTCTTTCTTGAGGGGAGGACTCCCCTCCATGTGGCATCAGCCTGGGGGAAAGCAGTTGCCCCACTCTCTGGAATTCTGTTGCCCACCTTGCAGAGCTAAGCTCTTACTGAGGAGTTATCTGCCTTGGCCAGGATGGACTAGGGGTGTCAGTGACTGAGTGATCTGGCTTTGGGATGGGGCCATTTGCCCCATTTCCTGTGAACCAGACTGGTGCTTTCTCCTCCTGGAAGAACTGATAGAACTGGCCTCCCAACTTCCAGCAGACCCAACCTCCAGGCACTGGAAAGCCCACCCACCCAATTCCTAGTGGCTCTGCCCTGCCAAGTGTGATGAAAAAATCTGGGAAAGATTGAGTCTGTAGCTCTGGAATAGGGACCACAGCCACCTACCCTGAAGCCTGACCAGCAACTC